GAAACTACAGCACATATTCGATCTTCTCCAATACCTTCTATAACCTTTTCAATTACCGTAACTAGATATTCTGCAGTGTGCGAATTTTCAGACAAATCAGAAAGTTGATAAAGATATTCTTTACGTGACGGAGTCATTACAATGAAGTTCCAAATTGAACGATATGTACCAGACGTCCAACCATCAAAGGCTAAATTATAAATTAATATTATATAGTAAGTAAGATTAAATAAAAATGACGTATGATAGCCTATTTAATTTAACAAACCTAACGTTAAATTCGTTTCCTTTTCAAGCTCAGAATTAACTTTGAAGTTCACTTGAGCTAATTCACGTTCAAGTAGTTGATTTACTAATACTTCCCTTGTTGGTGTATTGTACCCGGCATTAAGCTCTTTTATAAAATTGATGAAAAAGGAATGTTCTACTACTCTAAACGCAATTCTGCACGCAATAAAAAATTTAACTAATGCACGATTAATTCGTGTACATCTTTGTTCGTTAAGCTCTGTTGAATCATGGTAATCATCCATGTTACTTTGACCTTCAGAGTATTTTCTTTTTTTGGATGACTTGAACTTATCTTGCCGTTCCATTACTTTAGTCATATACCTTATAATAACTGCTGCTGGCGCATTTGGACAATGGTTTGAAAGATGCTCTTTGAGCTTTGAAACTTCAATGCGTGACCATGTATTCTTACAGTACTTGCAGGAGGCGGCAAATTTGCCAGAACCAACAGCTTCTCCTTTATTAATATTTTCCCAAATTCTATTAGGTGGCCGACCTCCTCTATTTTTCTTTTTAATGGGTGAATCTTCTATGTGATCAGTTATTTAAAACAGTTTATTATTAATTTTATTATTAAGAAAACGGAAGAAAGTAAAAGAAACTTTAGTTCAGTGTTAAAGGAGATAACGGAATTAGGTTTATTAAATGCATGTTACGCATTTTTCTTTAATGAATATAAGCCCCTTAAAAAAAAACTGTAAAAACGTGTAATATCATAATATTAATATGGGAGTTAGAAATGAAAATTCTAACACTAGATAAAGCTTAAAAGAACTAAGAAAAAGGTAAAATATTAAAGTTTAATCTTTTATCTGTAGATTATTTGATCATCTAAATTATATTATTAATTGGTGTAACTTGGCATAACTATATGCAAATCTTATGATCAACTATGCCGAAAATACGGAGAAACCTATTATAGAGGTTTCGGCATGTTTCGGCAGTTTCGCAATTTTGACAGGTTTCGCAGTTTCGGCGTTTCAGCGTTTCAGCACTATATAAGAGGTTTCACCTTTCGGCATTAGGCCAAACAGGTTTTGGCAAGCAACCTTACTCACGGAAAGGGATGTAAGTACTGCGAGGCCGTTAGGCTGAGGTGGGTGGAGTGTAACGAGACACACTACCAGACCGATGACATTCTGATTGGCTGTTATAATATCACATAACCAAAATTAAAAATTATAACTGTATTCTAATTCCATAATTCTGGCTTCGTAGCGATCTTTCTGACATGTATAGCTTCGATTTAAGCCTATGTTCGCTTTGTATAATAAATATACTATATAAGAAAATTATGCATTTTTATACACTAATATCATTACACAAAGTAAATATAGAGTTAAAATGAACTACACATATCAGGAAGATTGCTATAGAGCCAAAATTATGGAATTAGAATACAGATAAAATTTTGGTAAATTTATAAAATTATGTGATTTTATAATAGGAATGTCAAGTGCTTTTTTGAGTTTTTTGTATTTTTTGATCTTTTAGATGTCATAATCATTTAAATTTCTAATTTTGTAAAATTTGTATAGGAAAAATATTGTGAAAAAAAATTCAAACAACAATTAATTCAAAAAATTGAACAAAAATGTTAAGATTAAATGTAAAAATATGTGACAATTCAGCCAACCGAAAAAAATGAAAAAAATTCTTACATTATAAATGAAAAATTTATGTAAGGTTAAATGTTTCATTGCCAGAATTTTTTAAAAAAATCAGTTACTCCTAAATTAAAATATACTTAAGGGTCAGTAAATTAAAAAAATTAATTATTAATGAATTGGTAAAAAAATCAGTTACTCTTGAATTAAAATATCAGTAAATTAAAAAAATTAATTATTAATTAGTAAATAAATTAATTATCTTTCAGTAAACAAAAATAATCAATTATCAGTAAAATTTATATTTGCTTGATAATCAATAAAAAAAAAAATATATACCAAAAGTAAATCTTCATAAATATTTCTCATGTGAAACGTTAATTTCTAAAATTCACATTGATTTCTAAAGAAAAATGGTCAGATATAAATGTCAAATTTGCAAGAGATATTTTTTAATTTTCAGCAATTTGAAATAGCATATTAATGCCAAACATCATAGAAGAACAACAACTTCTTGATCAAGTGAATATGTTTAAAATTCTTACAATAACTATCAAGAATAGCAGTTATGCCAGAACATGATGTTCAATTATAAAACACACCTATTACATCAAGAACAACAGTTATGCCAAAATATAATATTCAGTTATAGAATACATCTATTACAATGATAGATACATTTACTTCACATGAAAAATCTACATTCCAAAATAATAATAATAATATTGGTAAGATAGAGAATATAATAATCAATAAAATTCCAATTTAAGATGCAGACAATTTAGAATCTGAACTACATTATAATCTGTGAAAAAGATTAAAATCAGAAAATATAGAAGAGACTTTATAATTAAATAAAATATAAGTATATATTTAGAAATAAATATATTTGTAATAATTTGTTACATATTTTATTCTTTTTTTGTTTTTTTTAAAAAAACTTTTACTTAATATACTTAAAAAGAATCCCAGACATCTCTTATACTGACTTTTTGCTCAAAAAAGACCCAATTTGCTCTTTTTTTATTTTTAGTTTTTTGTGATTATCTCAGCATCCAGTGATCCAATTCATGCAGATTTTTTTTATTTTGTAGGGCTCAATGAGAGCTATAAAACAAAAAAAAAAGTTTGCATAAATTAGACTACTGCCTACTGGATGCCAAAATAATCACAAAAAATGTGATTTTTTTTTGAAATTTAGACCAATTTGCTAAAAAGTTACTTTCTAAGTTGTATATGTAATGTCCAGAGTCCTATTTAAAATAATTTCATAAATAAAATTTTAAATTATTGAAATTTTTTAAAAAAATTCTTTTATCTTAGTTATATAACCAATCTTTTATTCTTATTTACATTATATTTAATCTTAAATTTTAATTAGATAAAATTGGAGTTATTATAAATAAGATATATAACAAATTATTATAATTAGATTTATAGTATCTATATTTAAATATTTTTTTTTACATTTTTATTATTTTATTATTAAATTTAAATTATTTGTTAATAATTAATTAACTTATCTAATATAAATATAACTAATTTATCATTCCTTATCTGATAATATTTACATAAGACTATTTGGTTAGAAAGAAAAACATATAGTCAGTTTTGTCTATTGAATTTATTTTTAGTTTCACATCATTTTATATTTGATTATATTTACATATGGCAAATTTTATTTGAAAGAAAAATATATAGACTTCTTCAGTAATTTTAACTAGTGCTCCGAAACAAGTCGAGTTGACTCGCGAGTTGGTCGAGTCGAGTCAAGTCAAGTCAAGTTGAAAATTACAATCAAATTGAATCGATTCAAGTCGAGTTAATAATTTAATAAAATCGAGTCGAGTCGAGTTAAGCCGAATTAAACATAATTCCGGCCAAATTTAAGGAATTTCCTTTTTTGGAAATTATGTTACACAAAATCTGAGACGAAAAATTTTTGAAAATTACAAAAATGGAATTTGTGGAATGGCTATTGCCAAAAAAAGGAAATGATCAGCATAGCCGAATAAAATCATGTGATTTAATTTGACTTGACTCGATTCGGTTTGACGGGCCAACTTGACTCGAATCGAGTCGAGTTTATATTTTTATAATTTTAACTCGACTCGACTCAACTCGATTTAACTCGAGTTGAATCGAGTTTACATATAACTCGACTCGACTCGACTCGTTCGGAGCTCTAATTTTAACGAATTATTTAGAAAATTGTTTTCGTTTATTTCATCATTCTGTATCCGATAGTATGTACATACAGCTTTTTTAATAAAGAAAAAATCATACATGCATGTTATTTATAATGTGTAGTAAAGGAAGAAAAACGGTGCGGTATTAGCGGTAAAGATAAAAAAGCTAAGTCACATAGTAAACGCACTGAAGTAGGTATTAAATATGTTGGCTGTAATATGTTAGAAAGTAATTGGAATAAATGGAATGATTTGGCATTCCATCGAGGTGGTCATTGGACAAATTTTTAGGTAGATCATGACAGTCACCTTTGAATTTAAGGTCGCATCATGGTTTTTAACAATGATGTGATCGTTTAAGTGACAGGTCGACTCCGTACATTCATATAAAGTGGAGGAAGTAGTTGGTGAAGGAGGTGGAGTGGGAATAGGATTTATTTGATTACTTTGATAGAAACTTTGAGAAAAGAAACTAATTAATAATGTTCTTTATGAAAAGTAGTCTTGTTTCATAATGCTTAATTAGGACCCCGAACATTATATATATAACTCAGATCTAAAGTCAAAAATTTTAATATAACTTTATACACTTAATTTTATTAAAAGCTTTATACAAAATCATCATATAAGTTCAAATTTTACTACAAATTATACAATTTCAAATCTGAGTTTATATAAAACAAAAATTATTTTATTTATTAATTTTATGTAACTATTATTTCACTAATGATTTATCAATTCAAAAATTCATAATTTAAGAAAAATTTTAAAAAAACTTACTTGTCATTATTCAAAAATTAGTACTGTTGTGAAAAATACAAATGTTTCCACAAGTATTATACTAATAATTACGAAAATTTAAATCTAGGTAGTTTCGACCCTGCTGAACAACTTTCAATTAATAAAGATAGTCGATTTCATTTGATAAAGGTGCCGAAATTACGCTCTGAAGTTACTGATCGGGTGATCGAAAAAAAATTGAGAGTGCAAAAATTGCTCGTATTCCATAAGAATTACTCCGATTACTATAAAAATTTAGGTATAGGTAGTTCTGACCTTCGCGAACAATTTTCTCTTAATAATGGAAGTCAATTTCATTTGACTAAAATGCCGTAATTACGCTCCAAAATTAATAAACGAAAAAAGCAAATTTAAAATTAATATAATTATAAAAATATGCGCGTACTCCATAAGTATTACTCCAATTACTATGAAAATTTATATTCTAGTAGTTTTGGCATCGCTAAACAACTTTCTCTTAATAAAGAAAGTCGATTTCATTTGGCTAAAGTGGTAAAATTACACTCCAAAGTTTGACGAAAGTAAAAAGAAAAAATTTAGGAATAAATATATTATGAATTATATAAAATACCTATATCTTCATAAAATACAGGTAATAAAAACTGAGACAAAAGTATTTAATATGTGATAATTTGTAAATTTACAAAGTTTTAAAATTTTTTTAAAGAAAAATTTTTTATATACGTATATATAATTTATTTACACAAGTATCGTTATACAAAATAAAGATCTCACTTGATTTAAAGATTATCACTGTTATACAAATACATATCTGACTTACCGAAAAATTACTAACAGGCTATACAAAATCAAACATATGACTTATTGGAAAATTATATAATAAGTTTATACAAAANCTGCTTAATTCTTATATGTATTTGTTTATCTTATATTTTGTAAGTTTATATATGTAAGTAAGCGTGATTATAATAGGACATGATCACATCTATAATAAAGTATAAAAAAAAAAAAAAATAAATAAAAATAAATATAATTAATTTAAACAATTTATATATTGTGAAAAAAAAATTTTCTCAAATAATTAATTTACATTTCTATTAACTTTTTTTTTGTAAAACAATACCTATTAACTTTATTATCTGAATTTTCAGATGAGTTTTAAAATAATTTTTAAAAGAAAATTAATTTCTAAAAGAAGTTTTTTTTTTATTTTTTTGTAAGAAATTGGTTTCAAAGATTTGGATATTTGAGATGTTAAATAAAACTCTGATATTGATGCAAAGCTTTAAAAGTTGAAACTTAAGTAAATTTTAAAATACCGTAAAGTTTCGAATATAAGCAACATTTTTTTGTTATAGGGGTGCTTATATTTGGATAAATTTATATATTTAGTATATTGTAGTATTGGCCAAAATTATCATAGTGTTGGTCAAGGGTGCTTACTTTCGGGTAATATAAAAATCTGGGAGTGCTTATATTCAGGAAGTGTTTATAATCGGGACTTTACGGTAAGTTATCAAAACTTTTTTTTATTTTAATATTTCATATATTATTATTTATAGTAATTTTGAAATTTATTTTAATAAAAAATCAGTAATTTTAAAATATTGGCATTGATTTTTTTTAATTTTGTAAGATTAGGCTTTTTAAATTCCTTTCAAATAGATTCTAAAGAAAACTTTACCTACTACTAATATTACTATAAAAAATTCAACTTTATATAAAACTTTATCTTAGGATTTATTTAAATTCTATTAGTTAATTAGTTAAAAAGGAAAAAATTATAATAATATAAAATTTCCTTTTATAATAGATTTTTAACAAATTTTATATATTAACTTATCTTAATAGAAGTAGGTAGGTTCTTTTTAAAGTTAATTTTAAGAAACATTTTAATGTTTCTTTTTTTTATTATTTACAGTATTAGCTTTTCTTAAATTTTTATAAAAAAATTTTAAGAAATATATTAATATTTTTTTTTTTATTCTTTATAAATTCTGAGCTTTAATTTTTTGGATTCTTTAATCATATAAAATACAAAATTTGTGATTTTTTGATTATCACAAAATTGTATAAAATTTATTAAATTTAGTCAAAATTCAGATAATTTTTTTTTTTGTTTACATAAATTCACATATTTTATTGAGAAAATTACATATAATCAGTAAAAATTTTCTTTTCACCACAAAACACAATTTATTTTTATCACACACAAAATTTATCTTATAGTGCTGCAAAAAATCATTAGCCTTGGCTTGAGTTTAGAAGTTATACACTTGCGTGTAATAGCATTAATATTAATTCTGGTCAGTTTATACACTAAAGTTTGCATAATGATGGCAAGAATTAGATTTTGGCCCGCATTATGATTTACTGATGATCTATATGTAATGATTAATTTGATATACCAAAAATAAATTTATAAATTTAACATAATGCTTTTTTTTATTGTATTTACATTTAAAGTTTTTAAACATTTATTAATAAAGTTTATAACTATAAAAATTAATTTATAATTACACGTATCAATAATAATTATCACTGGTGTTGTTTTCAATCTGGTAAATACCGAAGTGCATACATGTATGACGCAATGTCGGTCGATAATTTAATGATACAGCGGATAAATTTCGGTCTATCAAGCATCTCATTTTTCAATAAATTTTCTGCTTACAGCTTAGACTTCGGAATATATCGAAATAATGGAATGGAGGAAATGGCGTGATCTTAATGTATATATACGCACCTTTCACTTCGAATCTGGATCAAATATTCTTTACAATTCAACATGAAAATACTTACAGAACAAGAAAAACAAGGTTCAAATAAATTCTTCGAATTTACTTTTGTTTATATATACTCTTTATCTAACTTTATGACTTAATTTAGAACATTATAATGCAACAATTAAAGGTGGTATTAAAGGAGCAGGAATTGGTCTTGGAGTAACGTTGGGTTTATCTTTAATAGCTCAACGTTATTCTCCGAATTTTAGAAAGTTAACTTTACCCATTAAAGCTTTTTTAGTCTCTTCTGGTACTTCAGCTGCAAGTATTACTTTAGCTGAACGAGCTGGTTTAGAATACGAAAGAAAAAAATATGGCTACTATGAACCTGAAAAACAAATTTCTTTACAAGAAAAAACTTCTTTACAAAAAACTAAAGATGTCATATCTGAAAATAGATATAGTATTGCAACTTCTGCTTGGGCTTTAAGTATTGCTGGTAGTTTAGCTTATACTTATAACAACAAGTAAGCATAGTAATGTGTTATAATTAATTTCTTCATGATATTTAACTCTCTCTTTAATTTTAGATATTTATCCCTTTCTCAAAAAGTTGTACAAGCACGTATGTATGCTCAGGCTTTAACAATTGTACTCATCGCCGCTGCTGCTAGTATTTCTGTGACTGATAAAAGAAAACCAAGAGCACCCGCAGGTCAAGATTATTGGAAAGACTTGGTTGCTGCTGAAGAAAAAAAAATTAATGAGATTTCTTAATTCTTATTTAATAATTACCTCATATTATAACAAACGAAAATGTAAAAATTTAGTTAACATTTAATAATTATAATAATAAATATGAAAAATAAAATATAAAATCCGTAATAACTTTCAAATACTACTACGGAATAATATTATCAATTCTTGCTATCAAATAATATGCTAGCAGCGGCATCAACATTACCACTTGCTATGTCTAATAATTTAATAGCCTGATCTCTTGTAATTCCACCCATTGAAATCAAATTTTGAATATGTTCTTCTGGATATTGTGAATGTTGTTGAGATACTATTAAAATAAATAATAATAAAAATTAGTATGTGATTAAAATGTCAACAAAAATCAATGATAATTACCCGGGGAAGAAGAATTTGAGGAAGGCGGATTAGCGATGATGCTAGAAGAAATTGATGGAGATTTCGTATTTGACGCGCTAGAGCTACTTGCTATATCATCAAGATTTTCACCCATCTCATCCATTCTTGCACTTTCTGGTAATTCATGTTCTGCTAAAAACCGAATTTCTTTATCATTAATAATTAACGCATTCTTTCGCAAATCAATACATGCCTAAATAATTACTATTTTTTAGTTTGATGATAAATATGTCTTTGAATCTTTGTAAATAACCCTAAACCAACCTGATGACGCTTAAGCATATCTAGACCGAATAATAAATCGACTCCACGTCCCTAACAATATATTTTCGGGAATTCAATTTAAGAATACTTTTAATTTCACTATATTAGTTTATTTACGTACTTCCATAATCGTAAACGAACAAGCCAAAAACAAATCTGTCCCGACACGAATTTGTGCGGTGTGAACACGGCCTATAATTTTCGCAGTTCCCACACCTTTAGCAACCCCTGCAAATCGTTTATCTACAAGTCGCATAATTCTAATATATACCCACATTAACATTAAAAAATGCATATTTTTTTAAATTCAACGAATTGAATGATCACATACCCGCAATTTTCGGCACACTGAGGACTCACTTAATTTATGAGAAATAATTAATTCGTTAAATTAATAATACAAAAAAAAAGAACATCGCATTTAACCTACTGATAGTAGCTTGAGCACCAGAATCGACAAAAGCCTTCACCGGATTTCCATTAACTTCAACGTTAATATATAACATTGTTACCTAATCACAAATGTATATAAGCCATATATTTTAATTATGAAATAAATTCTTTAATACTATTAAACGAACTCTGCCAAAAGATTCCGGACTATATTCCAATGCAGTTTCCATGTTAGCCAAAACATTTTGCATTCTTATTTCCTCTTCTATCCTTCTTTGTGCCTCAATATCATACGGATCGGCATTAAGCATATTCTGTTTATTGTCAAAAAAGAAAATTAATGGTCTCAACGGAAATAGAATCTCTTTACATTAAACAAAAAGCCTACGATTTGTTGCATCCTTTGAAGCTCCCCTTGACGCTGTTCCATCTGTCGAATTAGTGCAGTAAATCTTGACGGATCATTCAATGCAGCATCAGCAAGTTCCGGCTGAAGCTTGTAAATCAATAAGCTAATTTATGTATTTAGTTCATTCAATAATTGACAAAAATCCTTTAAGTAACTTACTTGAAGTAATTGTTGCATCAAATCGGGCCGACTCAAAACGAATTGACTTATATGTTCTGCACTAATATTGTATGATAACTATCATTGTCGAAGTATAAATGGAGAAAGGAATATAAAAAAAAAAAAACTTTACGCTGTAGACGATGGTTGACTACTGGAAGGACTTTTCTTAAGAAACAATATGTCATCTTGAATAACACCATATTGCTCTAGAGTTTTCTTTGGATCCGTCAATTCTTGTTCGTGATGAAATAAAATTTGATCAGCAGGCGCTATCCCTGTCTATAATAATTTGACAAATCAAAACCGTGCTAAAAATTTCGGCATTCTGAAGAATATTAAAAATTCTCAAACCATTGTCTCAATTAAAGCTTTAATATTTTCTAATTCCATTTGTGAGTCGACTTCCAATTCATGGACTTCGGCCGATTCTGTTGTAAACGTAATTTTCATTTCTTCACAAGGGATGATAAAATGTAAGAAAACTGACGTGATATTTTAATCATTTTAAGGGCAAATACACCAAATAATTGTTTTGCACATACTTTTTTGTGTATATAGTACTTAGTGTTCTTCGAAAACCAAATAACGCGATCGAAATTCACCACGAAATGTTCGACAGTTTTGGTAATTGCGAAAGCCAAAAAAAAAAATCCCGTAATTTTTATATTATGTCCGGATTGTTACACCGCAGTCTAATCATATTTCCTGTTTTGGTTAAATAATACCCGCCTGAATTTAGGTGCCAAATATTCACCTTTATATAATATAATGATTTAGTGATCTATTATTATGTATAATATCTAAATTTCCAAATTATTCTTTATTAATGTTTTATCTAATATCATCCTTTTTTCATATAATTCAAACTAGAATTATAAAATTTGTCAGAATTATAACATCTTTTTAAATTATAATTCTCTATATTAAATTAAATAAAATAGTTTTATGCTTTTTTCTATTATATATAGTACTTTTCAAAAAAAGTCCTATTCTTTGTTTTTTATTAGTATTAAAGTAAATAAAATAAAATAATTTTTATTAAATAAATTTTAAATAATAATTTGTTGAAATTTTTGTAATGAAAATTTTACTTTTTTCATATTTTATTTTATTATATTTTTTTTTTTTTTAAACTAAATACAATTGACTTATTACATCATATAAATTAGAAAAACTATTTATATACAGTTAACCCTCTTTATATATAGTTATATATTTAAAATAAATTATATTTGGTTACTATAATAAAGATATGATTATAAGCAATAAAATTATATAATCCTATCAGCTAGAATTATAAATAATAATTTTAGCTAAATATTCAAATTATAATAATTTTATTAATATTTTCAAGATTATTAAAATTTAATTCCTGTAAACTCTATTGTATTGTACACATTATTTACAAAACTACTTCAAGAGCATATTAAAAAATTCTGTATAAATTATATGATTATCATGTATTATAGATATAATTATATTACAAATTTTAAATTGCTAAGTATTTTCATTAATAAAAGCTTCTAGAAGTAAATTTTTTTAACATTTTTTACATTTTTGTAAATTACTAATAGTTACAATATTCATAAGAAAAGTAAAACTTTAATAAAAGTTTAATTAATTATTATTTATATAAATTATATAATCACAATCATTCATAATGATTCATTATAAAGCTACTTTGTAATATGAACAATCTAATCAATTTATCAAGAAAAAATGTTAAAATAATTATTTGAAAAAATTTTAAAAATCAACACTTATGAAATGATTTATACTAATCATATTTTATTAACATATGGGCTGATTTGTCTACCTTTAATTAAAATATTAATTTTATTACATTTTTATTATACAAAATACTATATAATATACAGTAAATTGGGAATGAGTATTAAAAAATTTTTATTTAATGTTATTATACTATAATTTGGTAAATATTTCTTTTAAATTAATATAATTCTTAGCACTTACTATATATGTTAAAAATTTATATCTCAACTTAAAACGTAAATATCTCCAGATCCAGTGATCCAATCGGCAAGCTCTTTTTTCGTTCATATAGACCAGATTAAGGGCTTTCCAAGGAGCCTAAATTTATACAAAATAGATCAGTGGATCCCAAGATATTTGCATTTAAGCATGTTAAAAAATTTGTACCTCAACTTTAAACGTAAATATCTCCGGATTTAATGATTCAATCGGTGAGCTCTTTTTTCGCCTATAAAGTCCAGAATAAGGGCTTTCCAACAAGCCTAAAATTATAGAAAACGGATTAGTGAATCTTAATATATTTGCGTTTAAAGATGGTAATACAAACTCTGACATAAAATAATTATTTTTATTGTTTGAAAATATTTATTATGATACTATCTTTTATATAATATTTTTATTATACTTTTATAAACATTTATAGCTACTAAGGCTAGTATATACATTTTTATTTTACTTTATATTTATTAAAATATACTTACTTTTTAATAATATATGTTAAAAATTCCATATATATGAGAAATGGGTTTTTTATTAGTGAAATGGATTTTTTTACAGCTCTTTTACATTTAATAATTTAAGTTTTACAAATGTAAATTTTTGTTCAACTTATTATTTAGTCAAGTGATCATCAATCAGATGATTTTTTAGTATTACAAAACAATTTTGAGTAACAAAAATTGTGAAAATCAATCAATAATTCTTTTTAATGCAGAGTAAACAAATCAGCCCATATGATTACTCAAAAATATATATATTAATAATACTTGAAATTTTAATATGTAAATATCAGTATAGAAATAAACTGTACTATATAATTTTTTTAAAAATTTCTCATATAGTACAGTACAGTACTATATAAAGCACTATATTGTACTGTATGATAAATTAAAAAAATTCATAATGTATAGTTTATTCATATAACTGATAAAATTAAAAAATTTATATAATTAGTACTGTATAAAAATTTTATAATCAGATTTATACAGTACAAATAATACTAATTATTTAATTAACTTAAATTTTATATTCAAAATTGTACAATTCACACTTCTTATTTAAAAAAAATTATTTATTATTATACTTAATTATTTATTTATATTTACTTTTCTTAAAAATTTTTTATTTCCAGGTAAGTAAACTTTGAAGATATTTTTGATAAATTATAATTAATCTAACATTTTTATTTCTAGGAATTATTTTCTTAAATCTAAAAAGGATAATGTAATGATAAAAGTAAGAATAATAAATAACAATAAAAAGAAACTATAGTAAAAGAAAAGTGTTTTAAATAAAATAACAAAAAGAAGCATTAAACAATAAAAGGGAGATGTCAAGAATAAATAAGAAAAGAAAGCATTAGAAATAAAGAAACCAGGAATGAAAAATAATAAAAAGGGAAGTATCAGAACAAAAAATAGTAAAAATAGAGTATCAGGAATAAAAAACAATAAAAAGAAAGCATTAGAAAATGAAAAATAAAAAAGAAAAATTAGAAATGAATAAATAGCAAAAAGAGATGTTAGAAATGAAAAATAAGAAAAATAAAAGAAGCATTAGGAATAAAGAATAGTTAAAGAAAAGTGTCAAAAACAAAAATAATAAAGGTATTAAGAATGAAAAAAATAGCAAAAGAAAGATATTAGGAACAAAAAATAAGAAAAAGATCAAAGAATACTTAGCTAAAAATGAATATTTTTCTGAAATGCTATTGTAATGATTTTTCAATATTTTTATAATACTTATATAATTGTAATATTATTTTGTAATGAATATCAGTATTTTTAATCATTTTGTAATCTATATTATAAAGGATTAGGAAAAATATTTTAAAACCATTAAGATAAAATGAATTTGCAATGTATTTTGTAATATATTTCATAATGATCTAAAATGAATTATAAAAATATTACAATTTAAAAATTATTTAATGATTTTACAATGCATTTTGTAACGTATTTTATTATATATTAAAAGAATTATAAAAATATTACAAATTATTTTATATAAAAAGCATTTTGAAATTATATTTACAATAATTATATAATTATTATTATATTTGCATTAAATTCATTACAAATTATATGAATAAATCAATAGAATAACTATTTTTTTTCAGAATTTACCAATTCATATAACTATTAATATTTAAATCACTTGCTAGTGTTGTCCCATCTTCGGAAATAATATGTAAACTTGCAGTGATACGATCAAGATTATGCAAATCTGTTAATATTGCACTTCGCCATCCAGTTCGTTTATTTCTTCTGGCACTGAAATAAATAGTACGATCAATATCTTTTTGTACAAAGTAACAGACTATAATTAAAACTACTTCTGATAAGTAGTTTTTTAATGCAATCCATGATGTTTGATTTTCAAACAAATGATCTCTTTTGACTTGTTTTAATTGTGGTTCAAAGACTTTGATAATATCATCTTTACTTATAAAGTTTTGAAGATGAGAGGAGTTCGGAAGGTTATTCTGGGTCNTTAATTTCTATTACTAATTATAATAAACATTGATCACAAAACAGTTAAATATCTTACGTGTAATGGTCCAGAAAATCAAATGCTATTTCAGTACATTCGTCATACAATTTTACTCTCCAAGTGGCAAACCATCTGCAACCTTTTTTTTTAACATCGCCAGCATCTATTTTAGTAATACCAAGATGTTTAGCACATTCTCTGGCTAGTGCTAAAATTAATTCTGGTGTTGGTTTTCGTATACGAAAAAAGAGAACTTTTGACTCATTAATAAATAGAGTCGCAAGTTGTGTAAGTTGGGCCTATAAAAAAAAATTTTGATTATTATTAATTGAAGTTTTCTCATTAATAATTTAAAATCACTTACATTATTATTATTTAAATTTATATTCATTTGATCATGTAAAGTATTATTATTTAGAGAAGATTGTAATACAGTAGATCCTGTAGTTGAACATATACTTGAAAATAATGCTTGCAAAAAAGCATTAAATATTGGCATTAAATTATTTGTTGAATCTTGATTACTAAGAGAGATTGCTGGTTGGACGGTTGTAGTAGTATCCATTTCATTATTAGCTTCAATTTCATGAATATTTGTTTGGTTATGACTTGTTAATAAAGATTTTTTAGCAGGTGATAGTATTGCCGATGTAAATGATGGTACAGCTGTCATTGATGTGGCTGATGATACAGTTGAAGATGTTGTTATA